TTTAAAGAACTTAACTTCAAAATAAACTCCGCGAGCCTCATCTGGCTGTCTGACTTTAGGTCTGGTTCTCATTCAGAAAAGGAGCAGTTAAGTGCTGAGATCTGCCAATGAGACAGATTTTTTTTTTTTTTACTGTTCCACCAGTGAAATCAGTAGACATAAATCCTGCTGTTCAGACAAAAAGACAAACGTACGGTCTACAATGACTTATAAAGCGCCACTATTTTCTTCTTCTTCTGTATTTTTTTTTTTTTTTGAAGTGTGATCATAAGAAGATATATTTGTGGTTTTAAGAAACCCAAAAAACCAAAGGGATTCAGTAAACCGGCTGTATTATTATTAATGTTACAGTTTCTGCCGCAGCTCAATATTGATCAAAAGTTTACTGCTGAGCTGAACATACTGCACCTGTGTGTGTGTGATGTGTGTGGTGTGTGTGGTGCCGGTGGTGGTCTGTGGTGTGTGTGTGTGACGTAGTGTGCTCTGTCCTGTGAGTATGGGTGTGCTGTGTGTGTGGTGTGTGTGTGTGTGTATATCAAGTGCGGTACCCAAGCAGGCTTTGACTGTTGCAGGTCCAGGAACAGGCCTTCATTCGGCCTTAAGTAGAGCCTTTTTATCAGCCTGTCAAGCTTAAGATACACAATAGCGAACACTAGAGGCCAGCCCACAGCCACCCTAGTCCTCACTTTTACGATTCTCTCAGCGTGCGCTTGAGTGTTTGCTAAAGATGACCTAAGTCACCAGAGTGATGGTCTTGTAACCAGGTGTTTTAACTGCGATCTCTCTTTTTTTTGTTTTAGTTCTGATAATGATTCTAACGCAGAGAAGAGTATGATCCTTTTAGATGTTTGGTTTTCAAATGTAAAGTAGTTTATCCTAAGAGGAGAGCAGGATCATGAACTGAAATCAAAGGACCTGCAGAACAGGAGCGTTTTATTTTGGGGCACATTATAACGGCTGAAATATCTAATTTAAAACTGCTGTTAAAGCATTGGTGGCACCTATCCTTTCTTTGTGGTGTGTGTGTGTGTGTGTGTGTGTGTGTGTGTGTGTGTGTGTGTGTGTGTGTGTGTGTGTGTGTGTGTGTGTGTGTGTGTGTGTGTCTCTCAGGTGGTAGCGGACACCAACATCAGTGCCATCGCCACTCAGGTGGAGAGTTTGTCCAGCAGCTCCAGTCTGTCGGCCAACACTGACACACACACAGCAGAGCCAGAGTGAGGACACACACACACATATACAGAGATGTACAGTGAGTAATGATAGGAAGTATTGAACCTGAATCTGACACACTATTCACCCCCCACCCCCTCAGGGGTCCGCGGCCCCGCAGCATCAGTCTGGAGAAAGGCTCTGAGGGACTTGGCTTCAGCATCGTGGGAGGATTTGGCAGTCCACACGGAGACCTGCCGATCTATGTCAAGACCGTCTTCAGCAAGGTCAGAACCTGGACCCTGGACAGAGCCAGGCTAACTGATTCCTGTTCCAGTCTTCATGCTAAGCTATGCTAACGGCTCCTGACTCCAGCTCTATACTGAACACACAGACATGAGACAGGTGTAAACAGGTGTGAACTGGTGTAAGCAGATGTGAACTGGTATAAACTGGTGTAAACTGGTATTAACAGGTGGAAACTGGTGTGAGCAGATGTGAACTGGTGTAAACAGGTTTGAGCCGGTGTAAATCGGTGTAAACTAGTGTAAATAGGTGTAAACTGGTTTAAATTGGTGTAAACAGGTTTGAAACAGTGTAAACAGGTGTGAACTGGTGTAAACTGGTGTAAATAGGTGTAAACCGGTTTACACCGGTGTAAACCAGTGTAAACTAGTGTAAACAAGTGTGAACTGGTGTGAACTGGTGTAAACTGGTGTAAACAGGTGTGAACTGGTGTAAACAGGTGTAAGCAGATGTGAACTGGTTCAAATTGGTGTCAACAGGTGTAAGCAGATGTGAACTGGTGTAAACAGGTGGGAACTGGTGTGAACTTGCAGTTAGTGGGTATAAATATTCAGTAACATCTGTATGTAAGAACCAGTTTTAATTAACCTGTTTTAATTCTGTGATTTTTAAAGCTCCCCTCTGTGAACACTTACATTACAGTGAGCTACATCATGTGTAATGAACATTACAGACTCACCTAGGCAGTAGCATGGCTGTAGACTTGTAGCATTGCGTCATTGTACAGTATGTGTGTGTTCCAGGGAGCGGCGGCGGTGGACGGGCGTCTGAAACGAGGCGATCAGATCCTGTCGGTGAATGGGGAGAGTCTGCAGGGAGCCACACATGAACAGGCGGTCGCCATCCTGAAGAAACAGAGAGGAACTGTCACACTGGACGTCCTGTCATAACACACACACACACACACACACGTCTGCATGCACACACAAATATGAATCGCACACATGAACACAGAAGCTCCTGTGATGTGTTCACATGCATCACACACACCCTGACTCTCGGATCGAGAACTCGGAACTTCCCAACGTGCAAAAAAAAAAAGAAACAGCATCAGACGGTGCCAACACACATACACACACACACAGGCACACACACACGCACACACACACTGGTGGGTGAAATCAGTGCACACTGATGTCTGACACACTGAAACCCTCTGCAGCGTGGACTGTCACCACCTTCAGATGATCTTCAGTTTCTCAACCTGGGGCTCTCGGCCACATTTGAACTCACTTGATATGTAGATGGGATCACGAGAAACTGATATCTATCTGATTTACTGATATGTGTTTGTTCGTGGTGATCTCGGCTGCTCAGCTTGTTGTGATATCTCAACGACTTTGAGACAGGTTGCCATGAAATCTGAGGTTTATGTTGCTGCTCCCAGATCAGTGTGAGGAGTTTTCTCTCTGTTCATTTCCTTCACTTTCTCCCCCTTCTGTCTTTGTGTGCATTAGTGAAGTATGTTCATAAGTTTATCATGTTAGCGTGCTAACAATTACTGATTAGCACTGAACACAAAAAGGGGAATGTCATTAGTTTTAGTCAAAGAGCTACAGAACCACAAAGATGGTGGAACTGTTTTCTGACATTGCTCTATGTTAGCTCACAGTACAATAGCATTTAGCTGAGCTGTATTATCATACAGTGTTATGCTTTAGAGTCTGAGCTGTATCTGCTCAGGCACAGCTGGATAAATAACTACAGACTGTAGCTGTGCTTTGGTTTATACTGGTTTATAATGGTGTAACACTAACAACATGCTGAGGTTGTGTGTTTTCTGCGTGGGCTAAACGTTGTACCGAAGCTGCTGTATTCCTGAATAGAAGAAGCTCATATGGCTTATCAGTGTTTCTCTGCTCATGTTATCAGGAGCAGTGAAGAGTCATATTTTAGACTGAACCACAGCAGCAGTTGTAACCACATCCACATCTTCACCTTCAGACAGTGTCTGTTTACTGTCGCAGTGTCTCACATCGTCTCTTCTTCCTGCCAGACCTGCAGAACCTTTCCCTAAACCGGGCCAGTGTTAGAACTGGACTGAACCAATACACTAACTGGTCCTGTGGATTGGCAGGAACACAATGGTACTATTAATTTTGACCTGATGAACAGTATTAAGAGCTGAAACAATCAGTCGAGTAATCAGTTAGTTAACCGACATGAAAACTGATCAGTTCCAAAACTAGTTCCTTTAGGATTTATTGATAATTTAAGTGACTTATTGACCAAAACTGTCAGAAATCTTTTGGTTCCATCTTCTGAGATGTCGGTATTTGCAGTTTTCTATCACAGTAAAATTGAATCTCTTTGTTAGTCGCACTAAACAAGATATTCTAACTCATCACCTCGGACTCTGGGAGGTAAAGATGCACATTTTTCGCTCTTTTCTAACATTTTATCAACCAAACAATTAATCAATATTATTTGATAGTGAAAATAGTGTTTGTTCTAAAAATAATCACAACTCCTAAATTTCATGGCAATCCATTAAATAGTTGTTGAGATATTGTAGTCCAAACCCCAACATGTAGAGGGGTTGCCGAGGTCAGTAGGATTCATCTCGTCTGTGCACAATTTCACATCAAACCCATCCTTTAATGCGTTTAAATGGGACACTTGTTGTCAGAAAGGTTGAGAGACTGTTACAAAGAGCTGTTATCGATTCAGAATTTACAACAAGACGTCCTCACAGTGGAGTCAAGATATTTAAACCTGCACCATTTAACACAGACACAGACTGACTGAGGACAACAGGAAGTTCAAGATCATATTTATAATCCAGAGGAACAAAAGGGAAACGTTGATGGAAAGATGTGACTGGACAGAGCTTAGCGTTAGCTTAGCATCTCCTCTGTGGATACAGACTGGTTAGCTGATAGCCACCAAGTCAACCATCGTTCCAAAATCTCATCAACGTCTGCCGCCATCACTATCAGAGCTTACAGCATGTGTCTAAAAGTATGTGGACAGCTGAACGTTCCCTCCATATGTGTGACAGTGTAACATGTGATTGTGACATCATGTTTTATAGTCTGCTGCTCTAACGGCCTCCACTGGTCTGCTTTCAGTCAGATGTTGAAGCTGCTCCACTGTCCTCTGAAATACCATCGTATCCTGTAACACTGGAACTAAGAGGCCCAAACCCAGAGAAAAGTAGAGCCCTGTCCACAAACTTTTGGTCACTTGGTGCAGAATGATCATCCACTCTGATCAGTGCAGCTGGTTTGGTTATGTAAACTCACACACTTTACTTGAAGAAATGTACATTCATATTTAATATTCAGAAATGATCAAAATCAGATTAAGAAGTGCAACATTTGAAGTCCCTCTATTTATCATTATAATCAGTATATAAACATGTAATAACCGGTTTATTTATCTGTATAATAAAGATGTAATAACTGGTTACTAACAGACTATAATGCAGCTGTAATCAGACCTAACTCCTCCTGTGGACACACATCAGTGGAGGCTGTATAAACAGATAATGAATTACACTACAACAGCTGGAATAATATAAAACATGTGGGACAAATACCAAACTTTAATAAACACTTAGATCCACTTATAAATGACATTACAGTCTGTTATAAACCATTAATTACATGTGTTTACTGCTTCTAAATGCTAAACAGGGGCACTTAAAGTGAAGTATTATCCTCCATTTATACAAAATTGTGGGTAGAAATGAGGTTTTAAAATAATATTATCATTGAAACACTTTCTATTTCTTTAAAATGACTGACTTTTTTTTGTTTCTCTTTGTGTCAGTGGAAGTACATCATGAGCTGTTTTCAGCTGCAGAGGAGAATGCAGTGTTGTCAGTGATTGTGTCTCAGTATCAGGCAGAGCTATGATTTAATGATGATGAAATGATGCGACAGGTCACATGATAAAAATGTCACAGGTGCAGCAGCAGAGTGAGGTGACACCAATCAAGCACAATCTGTTAAAGCCAACACAGTCACTGCCTGATACTGGCTTTATTAATGTTAATAAATCATTTATTAATGCTTCGTAGATCACTTATAAGACATTCATCAGAACAAGCTTTGTGTTGCCCGGTTGTGTAAAATCCTCCTCCTGCAGACACATTTTTTTTAATATCTCTCCAGTTTGACCACACAGCTTCTTCTGGAGAACAGCTGTGGAACATCTGGAGCCGACTCCATTTATATCCATTTATATTATTAACATTGCAGATCTGTCTCTCTCTCAAATTAAATCGAAGGCAACTGGACTTGTATTTGTCTGTGGAATTGAACTGATGAAGCCGCTTGGATAAGAGGCGAAACGTCTTCCACAGACAAATACAAGTCCAGTTGCCTTCGATTTAATTTGAGAGAGAGATAACTATGACCTGGACGAATGAGAACATTCACAGACAGATTGCAGATCTGATGATTATTGAACCTTTTATTAATGATTTATCAACAACTGACTCATGGCTTGTCACAAACTTTATTTATGTCACACTAGCACTTCTACCTGCAGACCTGATGAGTTATGACAAACATTTAACAGAGTCTTTATTCAAACAACACAACAGAATTTTTTTCACTACAGAACCTCAGTGTTGTTTTCTACATTTGATCAACAGCCAGTCAGACTCTGTGTAGAAATTAATACATATTTGTACCATTATAAGTCAGCTGCTGTTAATGTTAAGAATGAGTTTGTAAATGGAGTTTGGTCCAGATGTTCTCCAGATGTTCTGCAGCTGTTGTCCAGAAGATCAGTGGTCAAACAGTTCTTATTAATTCTATTCTTATTAATGTCTTATAACTGATCTATTAAGCATTAGTATATGACTTATTAACTGTTGATAAAGTGAGTAATTACAGCTTATAAACCCTTCATAATGATGTGTTAACAGAACGTGGTACTAAACAGTCTTATCAGGCCAAACCAGTGAAAACTCCTCTTGAGGTGTGACCTTTAAACTGCTATGATGATTTTTAACTTCTCACCTGGCTGCAGCGATGAAGAAGTGAGTGTGTCGGCACACTGTGACATCACTTCTGGGCGTGGCCAAAGGTGCAACAGACTTTTAAGTTTTCAGCCAGAGACAGAGAAATTAAATTTTCCCTACAGCCAACACTACAGTGTCCCGTCATGACACACTTCTAAATACATTATACACACAAACATAACAACATCTATCATTAAAGAAATCAGCTGTTCAAGTGTCTAATTTAGTCAAACAAGGTGAGTATTTAATGCCTCACACACACACAGATGCTAAACCTGATTCCAGATGTTCTTCCCTTCTTCCATTATTACTCAGTCATGAATCCATATGACACATAAATAAACATTAAACACTGATGTGACTCTCAGGACTTGGGCTTGGAGATCCCCTGTAGCTCCCGGCAACAGACACAGAGTCTTCCACATGGAGGAGAGGCGTGAATGACAGCAACAGGCCGACATGTTGTGAAACCGTCGTCAGAGGGAAACTGTTAGCCTAGAAAGTCCACCGTCCAACGATGATGGTTTTTAATGATTAACTTACAGATGAAAATTAAAACACTCCTGAATTTGTAGTTTTAAATCAGCTTTAAATTTTAATTAAGATCAAAATGAAGAAGAGACTTGTTGCTTGGTTACAGGGTTGACGGCATGTTGTCTGCATTAGCATTAAAGTGATTCTTTCACAGTGTAAAATAACTGATTGCATGCTCATGTTATTTGGAAAAAATGAAACCTGATAAAAACCATTTAATCCATTATTCAGCTTAAAAAGCCATAAAAACACCAACATTGCATCAAAATTTATGAGTAGAATTTAAGTCATTTTAAGGGGGAAAAAACAGAAAAATTAAATTTGATTAATTGATTGGCAGAAATTTCTTTGTAGTGAAATTCAGAATATTTGCTCAGTTATGACGATTTGCTCATAAATCACAGTAAAAGGTTTTGTGATGTCATTTTGGGCTCTTTTAATATTATGTAGATTAAACAACCAAAAAAATCACTAGGTTAAACAATAATGAAAATAATCATTAGTCAGTGGTAAATCAGAGAGACTTTAAGGTATTTAACAGATTCC